ATTCTCAGTCATGGTTATCCCAAAGATGCTTTTTCAAAAGGCACCTTTGTTTTTCCTTGCAGTTTCTCTGCTCCTCCGAGAAGCTTCTTCAGTTCTAACAGTTAAAACTGAAGAAGCTTCTTGGATGAGAAGTGAAACGTCTTCAAGGAAAAACAAAGAAAGTCCAGTTGCCTTTTGAAAAAGCATCTATTGTATGTGAAGTAGGATAATTTGAGCCTGGTCACCTATCCCTTGAATTCTGGACTACTTTGTACAGTGTCCTTTTTTAAAAAAATTTCGGTTGTCCATGGTATTCTCAAGAGTCTTTTCCAACACTTAAGCTCAAAAGCATCAATATTCTTTTTCAATATTAATTACAGTTTGACCTGTAATGAATCCTTATGATTTTCTATATTAATAAATTGCTGCATTTTTGTGCATTCCTAAGATTGATATTTTGTGCATTCAAATGATTAGGATGATATGTAATAGCTGTGAAAGAAATAAATCTCAATTATATATTTTGAGGAGCAAATTGGACATTTTTTATAGGAACCAATGGAAGGATACTGCAGTTCTGCTGTAATCCTTTGTGATGCTTTCACAGTTTCATTTTATTCTGCTTCTGCTCACTGTAGTGACTGATTACAGGAAATTATCTTTCCAGTGAGATCTGGAAACTATTTGTACAAATGATTCTGACTAATTGCTCACCCAGTTGTGATATCAAGTCAAATTAATTGCCCTGACTACGTTCTGTATGGAGTCTTATTATTTATGCAGTACTATCTGTAAGCGTGTATATGAGAAGATAACTTGTTTGATGGCTACCCGGGTTCCGTGGGCCTTATGTATATATGAAGCCCTATTTATTTATTTATTTATTTAGAATATGGCATATCATGCATGGACTAGCAATAGATATTAACCAGCAATAGATAATAATATTCACCTAGATTAGCAGAACACAATAAAATATAAATGTTAAAAAAGATGTGTGTTCAAACACCAATGTCTAGACCACCTAACCATTGAAGCACAGTATCATTTATATTTAAAGCATCAGATACTGGACTGGTATATGCTCTCAGCATACAGCTGGGCACTATATGATCTACAATTTGACGTGAGACCCCACAGTCACATTCAAGGGAGGATACTATGCCCCATTTATACAGAGAGTCCTGGCAGATAGCAATAGCACTTAAGACTTATATACTGTTTCACAGTGCTTTACAGCCCCCTGAGTCTAAGTGGTTTCAGAGTCAGCCTATTGCCCCCAACAATCTGGCTCCTCATTTTACCCACCTCGGAAGGATGGAAGGCTAAGTCAACCTTGAGCCTAGTGAGATTCGAACTGCTGAATTGCAGGCAGCCGGCAGCCAAGCAGAAGTAGCCTGCAGCACTGCATTCTATTTAGCCGTCCCCCGCTTCTCCCCACCACCTTCAACTCCTCCTTTGTACTTGTGTCGATGGGCTTCGCGACGGCTTCGGGACGGTCGCTTGGCTCGCCTTGCCATGCGTGCTGAAAGAATCCTCATGCCTTAGTTTTGTTCGAAGCCGCCGCCCCCCCCTCGATGAAACTAAGACGCGAGGATTCTTTCAGCATCCAAACGCCGCTTTCTACCCGGAAAAGCTCACCGGAAGCACTTTTTCATCAAAACAAGATGGCGGTGCCCAGCAAACCGGCGGCCCTGTAGAAATTGTTCCACGGACCGGTACCGGTCCGGGGACCGGTGGTTGGGGACCCCTGGCGTAAGTTACATAAGTTGTAAGTTGAGAACTACCCGTAATAAAGCTTTCCAGCTTTCTCTTCTGCAGCGGAGAGTAGAAAGATACAGGTAGAAAGTTGTTGGCATAGAAGATGGCTTTGATTCCTGGAAAGCTGTAGAGGGAAAATCCAGCTATTTAAACTGATAATAATCATAACATAAATTCGGGGTTGGTTTTTTTGCCACCATTCCTTCTCTATGGGATTGGATAGGCTATGCTCTTTTCCTAGAAGCTGCTTATTTATTGTGTTAATATATTTTGTGCTCATTATATCTGCAAGCATTACAGAAATTAAAATGAACTGCTGCCAATAATTGGAATCTATCCGATCTGCTCCCTGCTGTTTCACCATCTTCCCTGTGCTCCTGGTGTTCATTATAGACTATAATAGCTTCTGTTGCTAGGGTTTGACTTTTAAGATTAAGAAAAGTTCATAAAAATAGATACTGAGCTTTGGAAGGTACCTAAAATACCTTTCACCCAGATGGAATTTAGAGCTTTTCCTCAACTTTGTTTTGATAGTAAAGGATGGGGGAGAGGGACGAAATAGAGGAGTAAATGCCTTGGAGGTGTTTTTTTTTAACAGATTAACAGAGTTGGAAGGGACCTTGTAGGTCATCTAGTCCAGGGGTCGCCAACCTTTTGGACCTCAGGGATCACCAAACTCATAATTTTAAATCACATGGACCCGCTAATATGAATTTTGACTGACGGTAGCTTGCTGATATTGGTGGGAACGTTTTTGGGATTCTCCCAGGATCTCTGCAGAAAAAGCAGAAGCAGCAGAGACCCTGGGAAAATCCCCCCAAAAGTCTGCAGGAAAATTCCCTACCAATCAAACATTCTTTATTTGGGATTGCAGGATACCATCTACAGCTCCGTTCTCAGGGGGAGAGAGAGAGTGAGACTTTTGGCTTCATGCAAGAAAAACAGCAGAAGCAGCAGAAGTCTTTTTTTTCTTTCCCCCAAACTCCACCAGAAATGAGTCTTTGTGAGACTTGTCACACCAGCGCAGCCTTTTGGAGAAGGATGCCTTGCAGAGTCCCAAAGACTCATTTCTGGCGGAGTTTGGGGGAGAGAAAGAAAGACTTTTGCTGCTTTCCTTGCGTGCAGCCAAAAGCAGAAGAAAAAAGAAGCGGAAAAAAGCAGGCCGGTGGCCATGTGAGGCGCGTGGGACATGTGGGGCAAGTTTCCACCCTCTGCCCTTTCCCCCCTCCCCTCACTACCTCATGTTGTTCTCAATGCAAGCGACGCAAGCCTTGTGTTCCACGGGCCATGTGGGTGGCGCAGCCTTGTGTTCCCGCACAGCCTGGATTAATTGCTTTGGGGGTGACATTTCTCTGGATCTAATCCAAAGCCCGCCCAAGCAGGAGACCCTACACTCGTGTTGGCGAACCTATGGCATGTGTGCCGGAAGTGGCATGCAGAGTCACTTCTGCCAGCATGTGAGAGCTCGCCCGGAAGAGCCACACTGTGCATGCGCATGCTTCGCCACTGCCCACCAGCTGATTGTCAGGTGTCTGGCGCGCATGCATAGGGGGGCAGGGGGTGCAGGAGACACATGCGCTTACGCAGAGATGCGCAGCGCATGCAGGGGAGTCACACATGCATGTGCAGAGATGCATGGCGCACAGAGGGATTGCCGCATGCACAGACACATGCCATGCGGGGGGAATCGCGCACGCATGCGCAGGTGCATGGTGCACAGCGGGGGAATCACACGCACATGTCAGAGATGCACGACGCATGGGGGATCGTGTGCGCATGCGCAGGGGCGTGGGGGGACAGCACGCATTGCCTTCTGGGCGCTGGCATGCGAGCGCAAACAAATGAGCGCGCTCGCAGTTACCGTTTCTGACAGATGGCAGTCCAGTCTCTTCTTAACAGTTTTGAGTCTGCCATGAGAGGTAGCATTCCCATTTCCCATGTTTTAAAAAATGCATTTTTGTATTGCTCAGTAGCAATAAAAACAGCGTCCCAATAATAAGAACAGCCATTATAGAAACTACATAAGGAAAAGGATTCCTAATCTGACTGCAGATTGTTTTTTGGGGGGCCATTAAGGAGACTGGAAATCTGAGAGTCATGACTGCAGTCATAGAATATGGAGCAGTCTCACTCTTTGTACTACGTGTCCCATCTTTTGCAAGGTTTGGTTATAGGTTTTGAAAATTTCTCCATGGCAGAAGAATCTCAAAAAGGAGATATTACTTCTTTCAGGGACAAGGAATAGCCTATATCGGGCTTCTGTTATTTGGGGATCAAGACATCGTCATCATCAGAATTGGAAGGCACCTTAGAGGTCTTCTAGCCTACCCCCTCCTCAAGCAGGAGATCCTATGCCCGTGATGGTGATGCAGAGCCATTTGTGCAGGCACGCAAGCCCCAGCCTGCACAAACTTACCTGCACTGTGCATGCGCACGCCTCCCAGCTGATTTTCGGCCCGTTTGAGGCCATATTTGCCCTCCTGGAGGCTCAACGGAAGCTTCTGCAGCCTCGGGAGGCCGAAAAACGGGCCTTCCGGAAATACCAGAAGTGCCAAAACGGGCCTGTTTTCAGCCTCCCGAGGCTGCAGAGGCTTCCCTCGAGCCTGCAAGAGGGCGAAAACAGCCTCCCCCAGACTCCAGAGGCCCTTCGGAGTCTGAAAATGGGCACTTCCGGTATTTCCGGAAGGCCCGTTTTTCTGCCTCCCGAGGCCGCAGAGGCTTCCCTCGAGCCTCTGGGAGGTGAAAGTGGCCTCAAACAGGTCAAAAATCAGCTGGGCGGCACACACATGCGCAGTGCAGGTAAGGGGGCGGGGGTGTTGCATGCGTATGTGCAGGGGGTGGGGGGTGGGTGCCGGCATGCGCACGCTTTCGGCACACCACAACAAAAAGGTTCGCCATCACTGTCCTATGCCATTTCACACAAATTAATGTCCGATGTCTTCTTAAAAGCCTACAGTGATGAAGCATCCCCCGCCTTTCTGAAGGCAGGCTGTTCCACTGGTTGATTGTTCTCACCGAAATTTCTCCTTAGGTTGCTTCTCTCCTTGGTTAGTTTCCATCCGTTGCTTCTTGTCCTGCCTTCTGGTGCTGGGGAAAATGCTGGTTTTGGAAATTCTGATGCTTCTGTGCTCCCCCTAATATACTTGGATCTGTCTTTGCTCAATCCAAGTTACGACTTTTCATGTGCAAAAAATAATGAATGCATATGGAGTTTCTAATGTACACTTTTGTCACTTGCGGAATTTCTAATGTTTTTATAGGACTGTGGAGTCAGCAGCAGCTTATTCCAGAACCCAGCAAAGCTTCATCTGACTATTGGGACCCTGGTACTTCTGAATGAACAAGAAATCCAGAAAGCTCAGGAACTTCTCCAGAAGTGTAGAGATGATCTTGTTGAGTGAGTAAAACAGCAGCTCTGTAATAGAGGAAGCAGTTGCCTACATTTGTCCAAAGAGGAAGCCTTTATAGAGAGAACAGACTCAAAAAAATACAGAAATGTAAGAAATTGTAGCAAGAAGCTACAACTGTTTAAAGATCAGGGACCCAATTGTGTTTTGTTTATGACATCAGTCAACAGTCAAAGAATTCCTTTTGATTGATGGATTATGTGCAATCAATCTTAATGATAGTTTTTCTCCATGACAATCTGTCCCTATTCTAGTTCTACAAGTTTTCCTATGGTAGAATCTGTTTTTTTTTTGTTTTTTTTTCCCTTGCCATTTTATTATTAATCCTTGGCTACTTTTTTCTTGCAGTGATTTTGTGCATAAGCCAAGACTGATTTTTATCCCATTGAAGTTCATGAAAAATGTGATTACCTTCACACTTTGTTCTAGCAGAGTGTTTGGCAAATAATTCTTTTCGCCCCAGAGGGTTGTATATCCCTGAGATTCATTTCTTGAAAAAGCTGTAAGCAAAGAACATTGGAAGCAGACAACCCGTATAAGAAATCACTCTTCAAACAATACATCAGACGACTCTGAAGAGCAGAAGTTGTCATAAAACACTGCGCAAAAGGCATTTGTGGTTTGAGATGTACAATGAGAGATAAAAATATTCTTCCCCCACCCTTCAATGCAGTTGTGTTTGCACTGTTTTTGCAAGAGCCTTTTTGGTGCAGTGATTTCTAGTTTAGAATGTAGGATACACCCCAGGTTTCCAAAATGAGCTCCTTTGTGATTACCCTATTTTTTTAAAATTAGCAAACAAAACTTCTGATGATACAAAATGCAATTGTAAGAATGTGGATATGGCTAAAAGCAAGTCAACTGAAATGCATAATGAGTGTAGTATACATAATCCTCAACTGATGACAATTGAGCCCCAAATTTCTGTTACTGAGACATTCGTTAAGTGAATTTTGCTCCATTGTACGACCTTTCTGGTCACATTTGTTAAGTGAACCACTGCAGTTGTTAAGTTAGTAAAATGGTTGTTGAGCAAATCTGGCTTCCCCATTGACTTCACTTGTCAGAAGTTCGCAAAAGGGGATCACATGACCCCCAGGGACACTGCAACCATCATAAACATCAGTCAATTGCCAAGCATCTGGATTTTGATCATGTGACCATGGAGATGCTGCAGTGGTCATGTGAAAAATGGCCATGTCATTTTTTTTTCCAGTGCCATTTTAATTTTGAACAGTCACTGAATGAACAAGTTGAATCAGTCAACGACTACCTACATAGTTATTTAGGGATTGGACTAGCATTCATGAAATCCACCCTCAGTCATAGAAGTTCACGGGATGACTGTGAGCATGTCACTTTCTCTCAACTCAACTCAATCTACAGTATTTCACCAGATTTTTGGGGAAAAGAGGGAAGGAAGGAAATGCTTGAAGTTCTGAGCCTGAACCTGTACTCACTGCCCCAGTGATGAACTAGATCAGGGGTCTTCAAACTTGACAGCTTTAAGACTTGTGGACTTCAACTCCCAGAATTCCTCCTCCAGTCATGTTAGCTCAAGAATTCCGGGAGTTGAAGTCCACAAGTCTTATACTTGCCAAGCTTGAAGACCCTTGAACTAGATTCACTTATTCAGACAGTGAGCCTATGAACCGTGTCTGGCTGAATTTCAGAAAACAAAGGAGAACATCTTAGAAAATGAAAGTCTACTTGAGTAAACCCTGGATGGTCTTGCAGAAGGATCTGGGCTCAATAAACAACAACTAAGTGTGGATGAGATAGCTGTAGCTTCAAGGATAAAACAAATCTGAGATTGTCTTCTTGTTAGAAGAAATGTCTCTTCTTCATAACCGCAAATAAGTAGTTACTTACATGCCACGAGTCTTGATTATTTGATGAAGTTTTCCCTGCCTGATCCCCGAGTTTTGTTCTTTTGCTTTTGCCATTTGAAAAATTGTTCAGATGGAGCTTAGCTTTTGACTTTCGACTTCTAGATCAATTTATTAGCTATTTGATCTAGGATCACCATATCTGGATTGCAGAAATCCACGTTACAACTAGGTGGCAGCAAAGAGTTAGTGGGTTGTTTGTATCATTGCTGCCCTCTAATGAGTATCTAGATTTCCACAATCTAGTAGATGTTCTTATCCCTGACAGAACGCTCTGTGTGTTTTTCTGGTCACCAGTAATCATGTACTACTGTGTGTCTCTCTCGCTCCCAAATTCTTAATCCTGATCTAAAACAGGATATTTGTTAGAGTTTGCAGCAAAATTCAAATCCAGAAAACACACAGATGACTGACTCAGCAGAATTCATTAACTTCCTTTTATATAAAATAAGTAAATGTACAATACCAGTAGTTTCTTCCAAGGTGGAAACGTTACAAGCAAACACAAACAGAAGCAGACATGCTACAGCTCCAGTTCAGAGTAGAGCTCTAGTTTCAGTTTCAATTCGCAGCAAAGCACACAGAGCCAAACCACACCCAGGCTGCCAGCTCCCATTGACTGGTCTGTCACCATGCTTACTCACTTGCTGACTTTGTTAACCATGTTTCTGCCAGTTAATGAATATACTCTGACAATATTGGCTTAGTCTGATTATGTCAATTTTTCCAGTGGTTGCTTATTCAGTAAACCGTGATGAAAACAAGGAGTAGCTTGATGCAGTATGTCATCTCAACTCATCCAGTGAAGTTACTAGTGAGAACAATTAATAACACGAAGCCTCTCAAGTCTGTAGCATTCTATCCTAAATGTCAGGGGTACTGAACTATGGCCCCTTTATCATCTGTGGACTTCAACTCCCAGAATTCCTGAGCCAGCATGGTCATAAAGGGGCCATAGTTGCTCCCCCCCGTGCCCGCCCTCCGGATGTAGTACCAATGGCTCCATTCACTGAAGCCATCAAATGGGCCCTATAACAATTAAGCATAATTTTATATTTAGGAGCTTATTATGCTGGTTTCTACCCTTATTGGTAATTCTGAGTTATTAGTCTACTCCTTGATGCTTCTGTGTTTGATATATTGTATTTGCATTCTTTCCGTCTCTAATTAAACAAGAGGCACTCTAAATAATTATACACATATGATTAAACAGAAGCTACTCACAGCTTCCTAGTTTCAAGTAATGTCAGAGATAAGATCCATAGTGTTGGTAGCAATAACAAATTTGGTCCGAATATTAAGGCCAGCCAAGATATTAAGACTTATGAGTTATTTTGGTATCACAGGAGCTTTGTTTATTTGGTACTAGCTCAATTGAAATCAGGAGATGATACCTTAATTTAACATGCATTCATTAGATTTTTGTGGGTAAATATCTCAACCCTAGCATGCAAATAAGGAGAATAAAAAATTACAAATAAATGGCAGTGAATTAAAATAGTAAGGGTGTGTGTGTTTAACGAATGAATGAATGAATACTTTATTGGCCAAGTGTAATTAGACACACAAGGAATTTGTCTTGGTGCATATGCTCTCAGTGTACATAAAAAGAAAAGATACATTCGTCAAGAATCATAAGGTACAACACTTAATAATAGTCATAGGGTACAAATAAGCAATCAAATCATACTAGGAAACAGTCAATAAAAATCATAAGGATACAAGCAACAAAGTTACAGTCACAAGTGGAAGAGGATGGGTGATAGGAGTGATGAGAAGATTAATAGTGATAGTAATACAAACTTAGTAAATAGTTGGACAGTGTTGTGGGAATTATTTGTTTAGCAGAGTGATGGCGTTTGGGGAAAAACTGTTCTTGTGTCTAGTTGTTCTGGTGTGCAGTGCTCTATAGTGTCATTTTGAGGGTAGGTTAGGAGTTGAAACAGTTTATGTCCGAGATGTGAGGGGTCTGTAGATATTTTCACAGCCCTGTTTTTGATTCGTGCAGTATACAGGTCCTTGATTGAAGGCAGGTTGGTAGTAATTATTTTTTCTGTAGTCCTAATTATCCTCTGAAGTCTGTGTCTGTCCTGTTGGGTTGCAGAACCAAACCAGACAGGTATAGAGGTGCAGATGACAGACTAAAAAAATAGAATGAAAAAAAAGAACATTCTGATAAGGCTTAGGTGAAGAAATGCATCTTGATCTTTCAGCATTAGATGCTGAAAATATTTAACAGTAAGTGCATCCTTACGGAAGGAGAGGATAGATGGAGGAGGTTTTTTGTGAGTAACCACGAGATGATAATAAGCAAGGAGAACTAGACCTGTTTGATGGCCTTAGCAAATGTATGGGCCAGTAGAGGTGATGACTCATTGAAGAATTTACTGACCTTGCTCCTATAAATTCCCATGGATTATTCAAGAGCCTATTAGATTTCATAATCCCCGGAGACAGGCTAATCTTAATGGAGAGGATAGATGCTGAGGTCAAATTTCACCAGATGAGACTTTGACACTGGAATAACTTTAATGCTTACCCATCTACCCCCAGTTTATTGATTGATTGATTTGATTTGATTGATTTGATTTGATTTGTCAATTGCTTACAAGATAATAGGTATAAGTATATACATAGTTGTGAATACATGGATACATATAAGAAAATAAAAGAAACAATAGGACAGGGATGTTGGTGCGCTTATGTACAGACCTCTTAGGAAAGGGGTGAGGTCAATAGTTGACAATCTAAGGTTAAAGTTTTTGGGGTTTGGGAAAGAAACCACAGAGTCAGGTAGAGTATTCCAGACATTGACCACTGTTGCTGAAGTCGCATTTCCTGCAATCAAGTTTGGTGCTTTTTACCTTGAGTTTAATTTCTATTGTGTGCTCTTGTATTGTTATGGTTGAAGCTGAAGTATTCATTGACAGGTAGGACATTGCAATGTATGATTTTATATACTACACTTAGATCGGACCGAAGGCGGCGTAGTTCTCAGTTATCCATTTGTGTTCTTCATCTCCTCAAAGATTAAATTCAGTATAATTAATTTATTATCCTTTGATAATAAGGATCCTTTGAGATGGTCTCAGGGTTATTGTGGTGGCCATGACATGCTGAGATGTGCCTTGTAGCTTCGTTTTAATATGAATTGATGATCACTTATATTGAAGTTCTCCAGGACCATTTTAGAAGCCAGCTTGCTCAGAAAGGCTCTTCACTCAACACCATGTAAACATCCTCAGTTTGACCCTCTGGTAGAGGTTTTAGTAAGTAGGATGGCATTTTGGTAGATAGTAACAAATCTTTCTTCCTGTGTGAAATCAGAGAAGAACAACACTTCTAACCATATATTCTCTATTCTTATAATATTCAGTTCTCCCAAACAGTTACCATCTTTATCACTAGTATAATAACATCTTTACCCTTTTCTCGACTCGGGTGTATCACATGCTTTTCACACTCATAACACCAAAACAGTAGAAGAGAGGAAATAAATAAAACACAAATATTACACCCCAAAGCTTGTCGGCTGCAATCCCTTTGATCACACCAATTCTCTTAATTAGGTGTTTTCAAAAATCGGGGATCCAGCTTTCCTCTAGTCCAGGGGTGCAAGTGATGGGCTGGTGTGTGCACATGTAGCTCCACTCATATGAGTGGTGGACCAGTGTGAGCACACACATGTACGCCTTGCCCACAGCTTGTGTGGACTGGTTCTTCTCTCTTTAGCCAAGCAGAGCCACCAATCCGCAAAGTTTGGGGACGGCTGCTCTGGTCTCTGCCCCTTTGACTGCTCCCCTGCCAAGACAGGATACCTCTCCTGTTATTTGAACTCAAGCTAGGAAATGATATAGTTATAATGCAAAGTAACAACAGCAACAATGACAATTATCTCTGCTGTATTGAAAAATCATTATTACCATTATTGCTAATGGAAAATAAATGGTAAGGGTTTAGCTGTGTGAATTTCGCTATCTGTAGAACTGCATCGGATAAAAAACCCAGCTTCTAATATTAGAACATGTTGGCCTTTCAATTTTACATGAAAGATAGTATAATTCCTTGTATTATTTAGCATTTCTTAATATTAATGCTGTGCAGTGTCTAAAAGCGATGCAGTGGCTTTTCTGGGAGGTTTATATCCTATATAATAACAGCAGAATACCATTTTTCTTCTTATGGCATGTAAATGCTAAACGGACAACTCTTAAAGCTACAGATATAGTCCAGGTTGTAAAAGAGAGCAGTGGCATTTGAGTGGCATGCCAAAGGTCATCGTGCCAAAGAAATAAATTAAATTTAATGTGATGCTCTTCATGAATATGACTGCAGCAGCCCTTGAATACATGTTGAAGGATCATACCGTAGTAATTCTTAGAACGGTTATTACTATTTGTTATCACTAGTATTACACATAAATTAGAGCTGTTTGAATAGCTGCTGGCATGGAAGGACAAAAAAGTGACCTCAAAAGAAATATCCATTACTACAGGCAATAACTCAGAAATTGCAAAGACAAGTTTAGGAACCGAGAATGGGAAACATTCATTCTATATGTTATCTCTAAAATATCAATCGACCAAATGCAGTTCATGCATAATAGAGTTCATCCAGTATGTACAGGGCCCAGCAGAGATTATACTACCTGAGACTTCTCAGAAAACAACAACTGAATGAAAAACTGCTGCTGACCTTCTACCGCTGCACCATAGAGAGTATCTTAACTTACTGCACCTCTGTATGTTTTGCCAATTGCACAGGGGCAGATAGGAAAGCACTCCAGAGGGTTAATGTCATTGCCCAGAAGATCATTGGTTGCCCTCTCCCCTCTTTGGAAGAGCTTTATAGCTCCCGCTGTCTTCAGAAAGTTCAAAACATTCTCAAAGATCCATCTCATCCTGGGAACCCTTTTTTTGAATTTTTACCATCTGGCAGATGGTACAGGATAATACAAACAAGCACAAATAGGCTGAAAAGCAGCTTATATCCCAGGGCAGTAGCTCTTTTGAATTCTACTGTATAGTGCAGTGTTGGGGGTTTTCGGTCCAATGTGTGGAGTGTGAAGGATGTGTGTTTGTATTTATTTTCATGGTCATGATGTGCACTGAAGATGGTGTTTGATTTCGTTGTATGAGGTGCAATGACAATAAAGTAAACTAAACTACAGCTAGGGAACTAAAAGCACTCAAACATATTAAATTGAACACCAGCAGCAGGTTACATACCCTTAGGCCTGTGGTACCTCTTATGTATAATGCCGTTGAAGTAGCAAAATATGTAGTTTCCTGTTCACCCTCCCTTTTTTTTTTGTTTTTAAATAGCACAATTACTGAAGGCAAACCTCTAACTGTGGAAATAAGAGGTATAGAGTACATGAACGATGACCCAGCCATGGTTGATGTTCTGTATGCAAAAGTCCACATGAAAGATGGCTCCAACAGGTAAAATTTTCCCTTGTTTTCTCTATAGTCATTTTTAGTCCCTAGAAGTATTTTATCTGAAACGATAAAAATGATGTGACGATACTCCAAAATCCTCCCAACCTCTGAGTTTGATCATGTCTGTCAGGAAACATTCCACCAGGAGTCCAAGAGATGAAATTTCTGTTGTTCTGTATCTAAAAAGAGGCCGATACTAACTTTTTACCCTTAGGTTCATAATGGGTCATACATATTACTGAAAGAAGTAAAGACATCTTCCACTTCTGCAATTAATCAGAACCAGAGGTGGTATTCAGCAAGTTCTGACCAGTTCTGGAGAAACGGTAGCGGAAATTTTGAGTAGTTCAGAGAACCGGCAAATCCCACCTCTGACTGGCCCCGCCTCCGTCTATTTCCTGCCTCCTGAGTCCCATCTGATTGGCTGGGTCTTCTTTTATTGCCCTGAACAGGAGAACGGAGCTGGAAAGCAAGTTGGTGGGGTGGGGGAGGAAATGAAGATTTTGCAGTAACCTTCCCCCAGTAGTGGGGTGGGAATGGAGATTTTACAATATCCTTCCCCTGCCACGCCCACCAAGCAGAGGTAGTATTCAGCAGGTTCTGACCAGTTCTGGAGAACTGGTAGCAGAAATTTTGAGAAGTTCGGATAACCGGCAAATACTACTTCTGACTAGAGATTTTATAGTATCCTTCCCCTGCCACGCCTACCAAGCCACACCCATAGAACCGGTAGTAAAAATTTTTGAATCCCACCACTGATCAGAACAGTAAATCAGTGGAACCGCTTGCCTCCAGAAGTTGTGGAAGTTTTTAAGAAGAGATTGGATAACCATTTGTCTGAAATGGTATAGGGTTTCCTACCTGAGTATGGGATTGGACTAGATAGAAGACTTCCAAGATCCCTTCCAAATCACTTATTCTGTTCTGTTCTAATTGCTGTTGTTCTGGATGGTTTAGAAACTAGGAATGTAGTACCTTAAAAATGTTAAAAGGTTTCCATCCTCATAAGATTTAATTTCTAGGCCTAACTGGGGGAAAAAAATTACCTCTACTTGGTCATGTTTTACATAGACAATAGCCCAGTTATTGAGTAAGCATAAATGTTCTGGTCTGTGCTTCTTCCTTTCTCTCATATGGCTTGTTCTGCTAAACAAATGATGGAGGGAAGTTGCTATAACATGCAAAAAGGGATTTCTAATTTCTCTCTCCAAAGGAGACAGAAATGAGAATGGAAACTAATGATGAAAAGAGACTTGCATATCTTGATAAACAGAGCAAGAAGCTTCTATGATTGGTTTAGCCCAGAGGTCTCCAAACTTGGCAACCTTAAAACTTGTGGATTTCAATCCCAGAATTCCTGAGCTGGGAGTTGAAGTCTACAAGTCTTAAAGTTGCCAACTTTGGGAACCCCTGGTTTAATCATTCTCTCTGAAAGAAGGAGCCAAGTAGATGTGACCAACATATCATGGCATTTATATCTAATCAAAATGCTGAATAATTCTGTTTAGCTATGAAGTGTAAATGCAACCATTGTCTGTACTAAATACTATTTAATTACTCAGCTACCAACTTCATAATATTCTTTCTTTTGCTAAATTATGTTGCATGTTTTTTTTTATTTCTTTACAAATGCAAAGTCTTAAGTATTATCTGGAAAGTCCTAAGTATTCTTTTCCAAATATACACTAAATGTTTTTCTTCCTTCTCCTTTTATTTTCAAATGTATCTATAATTTCGCCCAAGGAAAAAAAAAATCAGACTAAGCAATGTAATCAGATTTTAGTACATCATTTTAAATTAAACTTTTGTTAAGATGAGAATTACCATATTTTACTTTGCTTCAGTTTTCTACCTTTGGGCTACTTGTGTGATGTTCATAAAATTCTAATCAGGGTTAGAATTTACATTTTTTAAAAATTGACATCCTTTGCATTAGAACTTTTTCAATAGGGAGTAAATAAACCCTGGATTCTCAGAGTATATGCATTAGTTTACTAAAGATTGAGGCATACTCAGTAGATTGTCTCTCATGGTTTATCTCTGAAAAATGCTATGCATTTTTGCAAAAATCACCTCTTTTTTTCTACCTTGCAATTAAAATATGTTCAGCTAACTCACCCATTCTATTTTTGTCAGTGTGAGAGCTAATGTACTTTAGATTTTTTGTTCCTCCTAAATACCCAATTCCCCAAAACAGAAGAGAGTCCCATTTTCCGCCATCGCCGATATTATTGGAAAATTTATCTGATCTTTATTAAAGAAGGGGAGAAAGATGATGAGGAAAGTTACGCTGCAATGATTCCGATCCAGCAGGCCACTCATTATAATTTAATTTGCTTTATTTCCTCAATTTTATGGTGTAATAAAGTATGGCTTCATTTGAGATATTTTATTAATTGCTGAGTATCATCCCACTTTTCATTAGGCAGGTCTAATTTCAATGATGTATCTGCAGAAAACAGGAGACTGAAATTGAACAGCTAGAAATTAGCCATCAACAGCCACACAGGGTCAACTCAATGCCATTGGGCTATTACGTTAGCTCATCAAAAATTATCAAGCAAATGGTGACTGGAGGGGAAGAACATGTCTGAGGGGGACCAAAAGGGTCAAGATAGAAATCTACAACTTGGAAAGTGTGAACTATCCAGCAAATTACCTTCCTAATGGATTCCGCATAGATAATATATAATATATATGTGTGTGTGTGTGTGTGTGTGTGTGTGTGAGAGAGAGAGAGAGAGAGAGAGAGAGAGAGAGAGAGAGAGAAATGGAGAGAGAGAGAGAGAGAGAGAGAGATGGTCTTTTGTTTTATTGGATAGCATTATTTTTAATTAATGTTCCCTTGCCGTGCTGCACTTGAATAATGAATATTTTGTAAGAGAATTGTAAGGATTTAGTCTTTTGTTCCTCTTCTGGTTTACACATTTAGTTTGCAGTTGTCTTTAGTATAGATCAGGGGTGTCAAACTCAAGGCCCATGGGCTAAATCCAGTAGTATCAGAGCCAAGGTAAAATTGTGAGACGAGTTTATGAACATTCTTCAGATTGTGATTGGAATAGAGTAGTGGTGTTGCAGCATTTTCAACCCATACAAGTGATTCACAGATAAACCGTGAAACTAAGCAGAATCAAAGAATTCAGTTATATTAATTATATAATATGCATCTCATTGTTAGGCCCATTAAATAGATAAGAAAATTAGCTCCACAGCAAGACCCAATATTTTATTTTGTTGGGATAGTTTATAATAACAGAATCAAAACTCAGAAAACCTACTTTTTATAGTTCAGGGAATTAGAGACACATCTGCTCAATCTGTCCCAAAGGTGCTTTTTCCAAAAGCTACTACGCTGCTTTTTCTTTGAGGAAGAAGAAGAAGAAAACATTTCGCTCCTCATCCAGGAAGCTTCATCAGTTGTGGATGGTGAGGTGATGGAAGGATAGGTACAATACTTATCCTATAGGTACAGTGCCTATCAATATCAATCCTTCCACCTCCTCACCATCACAAATGATGAAGCTTCTTGGATAAGAAGCAAAACATTTTCTTCTTCTTCTTCTTCAAGGAAAAAAACAATACAGTTGCCTCTGGAAAAAGCAACTTTAAGACTTCTATGACCTGGATGACTTAAAATATCCACAGACATCTGCTTGATTTGTGTTCTGACCGAGGCTTCCCGAGATCGTAATTAAGCACACGCTTCGTTAAAACAAATCTTGTTTTATTTCAATGCTGAGAATTATGTTCATTCCCAGCCTGTAATGAATCCCAAACAGTTCCTCGAGATAAGCACCCACCTTTCTCTCCTTTGAATTGCTGCCAACAACTGGAGTGCCAAATGAACAATAAAAAACCAACCGAAGTACGAAGTCCACACAGAGCTTCAAGGGTTAATCCGAACAGAACGAACAACTTTGCTTCCTACCAAGGTTTCTTTACCTTTGCCTGTCCTTCATACCTTAGGGGAGGGGCAATCACCTCCCAGCCTTACTCCCGAGTCGCCCATTTTGTCTAAGCTGCTGTTGCCTTCTAGCAGCTCTGTGCACATGCGTACTCAGAACAGGCTCCCCTTGTTCCTCTGTCTTGCTGCTGCCAGACTCCAGAGGCTCCGGAGTCAGCACATCACTCTCAGATGGTCCTGGCCCCATCTCTGCACCCTTGTCCGAGTCCTCTCCAGACTGCCTTACTGGTCCCCGTTCTTCCCCACTGGCCAATTCTGCTGCCGTCTGCACGGGCTGCCAGAGCACCACAACAATCTGTTTCCCCCAAATTAATAATGTTTCAGACTCTGCCTAGGTAGCATTCCTTGCACATTTCTGTCGAAGTCACCTCTTGTTACTCTACTACACCTATCCAAACATTGCTCACTAGTGTTGGTTGGGACTTACTTTTGCCAAGACTCAGAAAATAAGCTTGTTCAACGGAAACTCTCTGTGTTAATGGGTGCTTCATTGTGGAGCCAAACATTTCAATAATAATAATAATAATAATAATAATGCATAGCTTGTGGCACTCTCAGTTTTGTTTATCATTTATGGAGGTAAGAATGAGGAGTCTTTGTGCTCCAGGTTGTGTCAAAGGCCAAGTCAGCGGACAGGTGTTATAAAGTTGACAGCCGAAGTCTATCATCATGAGAGAAATTGTGCTAAAGCCAGGATATATTAAGCGTGGAGTTTCTATTCATTCTACCATATATATTCAGAGGAACAAATGCCTGTTGTCTTCCTCTAATGGAAACGTGTCTCAGGAAAACACAGTGATCGAAGCACATTAGGACCAGGAAGGATCATTTAAAACTTTACTGGCACATCTTTTCCTCCAAGGATTTGCCAATAAATCATACACATGATAGGTTGCCAATGATCGGGCTTGAACCTTCTGACAACTTTTAATCAGTCCAGCTGGGAAGTCTTTCTTTGTTTCTTACAGCCCAGTTGTAGTAGAAAAAACTGTGTGATATTTCCACTGTTGGATTCAGGAGACCCGGGGGAAGTTTGTCTGAAGACAAGTGAAGTCTTAAGAAGGTAGCCAGAGCAGAGTTTTGAGGACAGGAGAACTTCTGGCATATTAGCCAACAAACCAACTAAAACTTTTTGAACACACATCAGTTTTCTTGAGAAGAAGCAGATACCCTCCCACCCAACAAGAATTTGTATAAATAAACAGACAAACAAACAAATTCCAGACTTAACAGAATAACAGAATTGGAAAGGGACCTTGGAGGTCTAGTCCAACTTCCTGCTCAGCCAGGAAACCCGATACAAGTGGTGGCTAACCTTTTTGGGCTCCCATGCTGAAAATTGCGCATGCCAGCACCCAGAAGGCAATGTGCGTTAGGCCCCCCAAGCCCCCTGCGCATGCACGTGGGACCCACATGTGCCGTGCGTCTCTGCGCACGCGCACGAGACACCCCCCCCGCGTGCTGCACGTCTCTGTGCATGCACACGTGTCTCCTGCGCCCCCCATCCTCCCACACCTGCGCGCCAGATACCTGACAATCAGCTATTGGGCGGCGGTGCCCGCACGCACGCACAGTGAGGCTCTTCCAGGCGACCTCTCGTGTGCCGGCAGAAGTGGCTCTGCGTGCCATTTCCAGCACACATGCGATAGGTTCGCCATCATGGCCCTATACCATTTCAGACAAGTGGCTGTCCAATCTCTTCTTAAAAATTTCCACTGTTGGAGCACCCACAACTTCTAGAGTCAACTTGTTCCGTTGATTAATTGTTCTAACTGTCAGGAAATTTCTTCTTAGTTCTAAGCTGCTTCTCTCCTTGATTAGTTTCCATCCATTGTTTCTTGTCCTGCCTTCAGGTGCTTTAGAAAATATAGTAAACTGTGGTGAAGACTGGGTTAAAAAGAAATCATTCCGGTTATATTGGGTAGAAAATTCCGCAGAGCATTAAGAAGAGTAGTGGTAAATGTTTTACTTTAAATAGGGATTAGTAGAGTTCTGCCTAGGGTGCAAACACTTTATCCTGCTTGAATTATTTATAACAATAATTTAGCAAGCGTCTACAGAGCATGCCAATTTTTCCTTATCCATTTATTTCAATCTTGTTTTGCGTTGATAGAATCCTTTCCAATCTGGAAGTCTGACATAACATTTTTAAACTTCTTTTTATTAGTAAACCACTATCCAAAACAATGACAAAACTTTTAAGAGCAGCTACTGCTGGGTTTAGAAGACAAAAAGGGTTGTTGTTTCTAAACAGACTAGAAATTAGGGTTAATTTACTCTATCCTACTTGACAATAGTGGGATCTTCATATTTTTAATATAACTGGGCTACCTTTTTCTCCCTGAAAAGATGCTTTCCAATTCAAAAAGAAATAGAAAAAGAATGGGAAAGATTGCCATAGAAAGTGCCATGAAATGGAGTTCCATGAGGGTTTTTGAAACAAGCTGTTATCTTCCCACCGAAGTGGTACCTATTTGTCTGTTCGCATTTGCATGCTTTTGAAATACTAGGTTGGCGGGAGCTGCAGCGAGGACAGGAGCTCAGCCCATGGAGCAGTACTCAGATCTCGAACCTGGACTGCCAGCTTTCCAGTCGACAAGCGCAGTGTCTTAACCGCTGTGCCAGTCCATGACGTCATGGCCACATGACCACAGGAATGTCTTTGGTCAGCGCTGGTGCAATGGCCTTGAAACGGAGACGAGCACCGCCCCCTAGATTCCACAATGAGTAGCGGAGTAAAACCTGCAGGGACTCCTTTTGAAGCAAGACTACATCATAAATGTCATGCCCCTGGTGGAAACTGACTCTGAGGGAGAGGAGGAAAAGCCGACAGGGAGTAGAAGTGTGGCTCCGGAGGTTGTGGAGGAGGCTGGGGAAGGGCAGAAGCCAGCTGAGCAGTCAGATGAGGACCCAGGCCCATCCCCTATCCATCCTAGGGCACGCAGGGAGGAGAGGATAAGGGAGAGACGTGGTCTACTCAAAAGGAGAGGGCCTTGATTCTTTTCATGAGCTGCAGCTGTGACAACTGAATAAGAGGATGGACTTGCATATGGGCGAACGCTGGAAACAAAGCGTGGAAATATCTCTAGTTTATGGTTCCTCTCTGAGTTTGGCGTCCTTCCCAGTGTGTGTTCTCTGTGGACATCCTCCAGCCCTTATCTTGCCTGGTTTGTGTTGCTTTTTTCCTTCTTCTTGTAACTGTTTGTGTGGGAGTTTTTTGTCTTCCGTCAAGAATATTTGGAGCTTGGAAGCAAAGTGAAGGAATAAAAGGGGCTTCACCTGTTTTCTGTGACTGTGTTTTGTATCCCACCCTGGGTCATCACAATAAAGCTGAATCAAGGGTGGGACTAATGCATCTAAATAAGTTTATTTATTCTGCATCATTTTGGTAACACCAGCACTATAAGATCAAAGGAGGAGAAGCTACCAGGTTCTCAAGGATAAAAAAGATTCAGCAGCACCCAACTCTGTATGTCCTCAACCTTGTCTTGCTAGGGATGAGTAATCTGAAACATCCCTGTAGATAAAAAAGAAGAAGAACTCGTTATTCAGAGGCCTTTTTCTTGTGTCACGCAAGCGTTTTTATCAAGATCTTGCTTTCCATATAGTAAAATTGTATGTCAAACCATTTTTATTGGCCTATCAAAGCGGTCCCCCCCCCTCACTTCCTCTTTCTTCGCAGAATGCAATTTTTTTCCGTTTCAATGAAGGATGTGCTGTCTAGGTTTGCTCAGCGGTTGAAATGAGGTTTCTGGTACTTTGGATTTATTCCAGTTTTTCTCCAGTGTTAAATCTTGAAGAAGTAACAGGACACCAACGAGGTACAGATAGTCCTTGAGTTACGACCACAATTGGGCCCAAATTCCTGTTGCTGGGCAGGACATGTGTTAAGGGAGTTTTGCCCCATTTTTGCATCTTTTTTTTTGCCAACTCACTTGTTAAGTGAGTCACTGCAGGTGTTAAGTTAGTGTTCTGACCAAAGCTTCCCAAGACCGTAATTAAGCACACGCTTAGTTAAAACAACTCTTGTTTTATTTCAACGCTGGAAATTATTTCCATTCCCAGCTGGTAATGAGTCCCAAACAGTCCCTTCGAGATAAGCATCCACCTTTCTTTCCTTTGAATTGCTGCCAACAACTAGAGTGCCAAATGAATTATAAAAAACCAACCAAAGTACAAAGTCCACACAGAGCTTCAAGGATTAATCTGAACAGAACGAACAACTTTGCTTCCTGCAAAGGTTTCATCACCTTTGCCTGCCCTTTATCCCTTATGGGAGGGGCAATCACCTCCCAGCCTTACTCCCAAGTCGCTCCTTTTGTTTCCGCTGCTCTTGCCTTCTAGCAGCTCTGCACACGCGCGCATTGGGAACAGGCTTCCCTTGTTCCTCTGCCTCGCTGTTGCCAGACTCCAGAGGCTCCGGAGTCAGCACCCCATTCCCAGATGGTCCTGGCCCCATCTCCGCATTGGATGCACGACCCTCGTCTTGAGTCCTCTCCAGACTCCCTGACTGGTCCCCGTTCTTCCCCGCTGTCGTCTGCTGCCGTCTGCACAGGCTGCCAGTGAACCACAACAGTTAGCACCGTAGTCTCCAAACTTGGCAACTTCAACTCTGGGAGTTGAAGTCCACAAGTCTTAAAGTTGCCAAGTTTGGGGGCCCCTGAGTTAGTAACATGGTTGTTAAAGTGAAACTGGCTTCGCTTGTCAGAAGGTTGCAAAAGGGGATCATGTGACCTTGGGACACAGCAACGGTCATAAATATGAGTCCCTTGCCAAGCGTCTGAATTTTGATCATACAACCAAGGGGATGCTGCAGTGGTCATAAGTGTGAAAAATGGTGATAAGTCACTTTTTCCCCAGTGCTATTGTAACTTTAAACGGTCACTAAATGAACTTTTACAAGTCAGACTACCTGTACTGTAGTTGTGCTTTGAGAACCACCATTTGGTAACAATTGTTTTAATTCTTCTCCAGAGTATAAACCTTAAAAGTATCTGCTTCATGAATACAGGTAGTCCTCAACTTACCACAGTTCGTGTAGTGACCATTCACAGTTCAAAAGGCACTGAAAAATATGACCATTTTTCACAATTACGACCTTTGAGGCATCCCATAGCCATGTGATCAAAATTCAGTTGCTTGGCAACTGATTCCTATTTTTGCTATGTCCTAAGGTCATCTAATCCCCTTTTGCGACCTTCTGACAAGCAAAGCCACTGGGGAAGCCAGATTTCCTTAACAACCAATTTACTCACTTATCAAGGACAGTGATTCATTTAACAACAGTGTCAAGAAAGGTCGTAAAAGGGGGCAAAACTCACTTCACAGATATCTCCCTCGACAACATAATTTTTTTGGCTCTATTGTGGTCATAACCCGAGGATTCACCTGTGCGAGTATTGAAAAATAAAGGCCTCACCTTACCATTTTTTCCCCTACTTCCTTTTCTCTTCTCCAGACTTCAGCTCCTAGCAGATAGACTGGTGGACCAGTTTGCAACCTCTGGGCTGATGAGAAGAGAATGGGATAGAGTGAAGCTCCATGCCACTGTTATGAACACGGTCTTTCGGAATGATCCTAGCGGTGAGCCTCCATTAAGATCTCTTGAGAAATGTTAACCGCGGTTTTGATCCCCAAGTTTGCTACGACAGTCCTTAGGTTTATATATATATACAATGTTCCTTAGGTTTGCTATTGCTAATATATATGTGTATCTATGTATGGGTGTGTATATGTATATGTATGTATGCATATGTATATTTATATACATACATACATACATACATACATACATACATACATACATACATACATTATACACACATACATCAGTGGTGGGATTCAAATTTTTTTACTACTGGTTCTGTGGGTGTGGCTTGGTGGGCATGGCAGGGGAAGGATACTGCAAAATCCCCATTTCCCCCACCCCACCCCACTAACCTGCTTTCCAGCTCCGTTCTCCTGTCAGGGCAACCAAAGAAGACCCAGCCGATCAGCTGGGACTCGATGGGAGGCAGAGAATAGATGGGGGTGGGGCCAGTCAGAAGTGGTATTTGCCAGTTCTCCGAACTACTCAACATTTCTGCTACCGGTTCTTCAGAACTGGTTTACAGAGTCAGCCTATTGCCCCCAACAATCTGAGTCCTCATTTTACTGACCTCGAAGGAAGGAAGGCTGAGTCAACCTTGAGCCTGGTGGGATTTGAAGTGCCAAATTACAGGCAGCCGGCAGGCAGCAGAAGTAGCCTGCAGTACTGCACTCTAACCACTGTGCCACCGTGTGTGTCACTTATATATATTTGAGACCTTGCCATGCAAATACAGATATAGATATAGATATATATATATAGATAGATATAGATATAGATATAGATATAGATATAGATATAGATAGATAGATAGATAGATAGATAGATAGATAGATAGATAGATATAGATATAGATATAGATATAGATATAGATATAGATATAGATAGATAGATAGATAGATAGATAGATAGATAGATAGATAGATAGATATGGCATTCAGCTTTGTTCGGGTATTTTCCCACGACATTGTAGTTGTGCTTTTAAAGTTGTAGCAACGTTTTGGCATAATCTCATCTGGCATCATCAGGCTTCTACAGAAGTAAGTACCCGCGAAAACTTAAGAATATATATATATATATATATATATATATATATATATATATATATAT